CTGTGTACTTGTATCACTGTGTAGTTGTATTACCGTGTAGTTGTATCACCGTGTAGTTGTATCACTGTGTAGTTGCATCACCGTGTAGTTGTATCACCGTGTAGTTGTATCTCTGTGTAGTTGTATCACTGTGTAGTTGTATCACCGTGTATCACCGTGTAGTTGTATCACTGTGTAGTTGTATCTCTGTGTAGTTGTATCACTGTGTAGTTGTATCACCGTGTATCACCGTGTAGTTGTATCACTGTGTAGTTGTATCACTGCGTAGTTGTATCACTGGAAGTTTCATTTTCTTTTTTGAGACTGGAACCAACTTCTGGGTTACAATGTTAAAGTACACGCGACAGCTGAAGCGGCATCCAGACGTCGAGCTTTGTAACACCAGAACGGTCATTTGTTTCACTTTGATCTGCTTCGTGATTGACGATCACGCCGCCTGGTGGACATAAATAACGGGTCTCTAATATGTCAGATTTCATGTTTACAATAATATAACACCCACGTACTATTTGTCGTTTGTGAGAAAGTCATAAAATTGATCAACTCAAAGGCTGCAGACAGTGGAATTGTTATACTCATTTTGCCTAATGAAGTCGTCAAGTCCGAATACTTTCTTTATATAAAAGTGTGATACTTAAATCATTAAATAAATAATTAGAACTTGTTGTTTGGTGAAGCATGCTATCATCAGTATGTGTACGCTGTGTTTATAGTCGTTATCGGTATGTTAGCAGTAATAACTGTTGCTAAATAAGGTAGTTGGATTGTACAGAATTCTTGACCAAATTCATGTGCTTCTCATACTCTACATGTCACTGACATGAGGTGGTCGAATAGCCCTGGTGGGATGTTTAAACATTCACAATCACATTCACAATTGTCAAGTACCAGGCATGTCAGCAAAACAATGGTTTCTAAATCTATTCCACAGCTAAAACATAATCACATGTAAATACATCAGATGATATAGATCGCTTGATTTCGTTTGATTGGCAGACAAAACACAGGATATGACAGTCAGGAGGTCCGGGGTGAAAGTTACTACAATGTTTGTTAACTGCATGATAGCTAAATATGGACTTTGTTCTGCAGCGTTGTGATAAAGACTACTGCTCCCGACGTACGTACAAAAGAAATCACAACCTTGCTCATGTTATATAATCTGTATCGACAGGAAATTGAAACAAGACAATAACATTGTGTCAACACAATCCAAACCCAATAAATAAGATAGATATTAAGGCCTCAAACCTTGGTGTGAGAGAGGTCCTCATATCTTCTATGATACAATGTATCTATAAGTTGGAACACCGGGAACTGTTATATCCCGAAATCCCATACTAGACCGGCAAAATAACCTCCTCTTTATGTTTGACAGATATCGATATCTTCAATAAATAATTTAAAAAAGCTTTACTTTCCTACTACCACACTATAAAAGTCAGATTTAAGAGAAAGTTGTGTGTACCATCTACTCGCAGTATCTTACCTGTCCATGGCGATAGCCACGAGGGTATTCACGGGCGCGCTAACAGAAACACCTTGTAGGTAGGTGTCCATCCCATCCGCAGTATCTTACCTGTCCACGGTGATAGCCACGAGGGTGTTCACGGACGCGCTAACAGAGACACCTTGTAGGTAGGGTGTCCATCCCATCCGCAGTATCTTACCTGTCCACGGCGATAGCCACGAGGGTATTCACGGACGCGCTAACAGAGACACCTTGTAGGTAGGGTGTCCATCCCATCCGCAGTATCTTACCTGTCCACGGCGATAGCCACGAGGGTATTCACGGACGCGCTAACAGAGACACCTTGTAGGTAGGGTGTCCATGCCATCCGCAGTATCTTACCTGTCCACGGCGATAGCCACGAGGGTATTCACGGGCGCGCTAACAGAGACACCTTGTAGGTAGGGTGTCCATCCCATCCGCAGTATCTTACCTGTCCACGGCGATAGCCACGAGGGTATTCACGGACGCGCTAACAGAGACACCTTGTAGGTAGGGTGTCCATCCCATCCGCAATATCTTACCTGTCCACGGCGATAGCCACGAGGGTGTTCACGGACGCGCTAACAGAGACACCTTGTAGGTAGGGTGTCCATCCCATCCGCAGTATCTTACATGTCCACGGCGATAGCCACGAGGGTATTCACGGACGCGCTAACAGAGACACCTTGTAGGTAGGGTGTCCATCCCATCCGCAGTATCTTACCTGTCCACGGCGATAGCCACGAGGGTATTCACGGACGCGCTAACAGAGACACCTTGTAGGTAGTGTGTCCATGCCATCCGCAGTATCTTACCTGTCCACGGCGATAGCCACGAGGGTATTCACGGACGCGCTAACAGAGACACCTTGTAGGTAGGGTGTCCATCCCATCCGCAGTATCTTACCTGTCCACGGCGATAGCCACGAGGGTATTCACGGACGCGCTAACAGAGACACCTTGTAGGTAGGGTGTCCATCCCATCCGCAGTATCTTACCTGTCCACGGCGATAGCCACGAGGGTATTCACGGACGCGCTAACAGAGACACCTTGTAGGTAGGGTGTCCATCCCATCCGCAGTATCTTACCTGTCCACGGCGATAGCCACGAGGGTATTCACGGACGCGCTAACAGAGACACCTTTTAGGTAGGGTGTCCATCCCATCCGCAGTATTTTACCTGTCCACGGCGATAGCCACGAGGGTATTCACGGACGCGCTAACAGAAACACCTTGTAGGTAGGGTTTCCATCCCATCCGCAGTATCTTACCTGTCTAAACTATTTCCCATAAAACACTTTATCAAATAAAAACACAAATGCCAGGTATGCATTTAGCCTGCTGAACAGCTAGAAAGCCGGCGTTTATTAATATTTGACACATATTTTGTTTTATTGTATTATTCATATAAAATTACTTGAAATACATACTCCGAAATATTTTGATCATATCTACTAATAACTCTTGTTTCTAAACTTCCATTTCCATACAATACAGCCCAGGGTTAAAAACCAGAGATAAACTCTATGAGCTAAATGCTCTGGAAAACCTTCTGGCTCACTACCTACACTCGACAACTTTGTCATGTCCGAGTTACCTCCCATAGATAAAAAATTCTATTTTTACTAAATCTAAATTCTGACATTAAAAAATAAAAAACAGCCTGTACGATATGCTGTCCAAGGCTAGAATGACCCCACCTATACAATACACCTGTATACCTGACTCAGTACAACGAAAACCACGTGCAAAATGCCTTACTCGCCTATTTGGCCTAATGCATATTCATCAGCCTACGCCTATACTATATATGGCAATAAAAACTTACAGACAATATTTTTCTGCTATACTAACGAAACGCAGAAAAAGTTACGTCCACGGCGATAGCCACGAGGGTATTCACAGACGCGCTAACAGAGACACCTTGTAGGTAGGGTGTCCATCTCCTCCGCAGTATCTTACCCGTCCACGGCGATAGCCATGAGGGTGTTCACGGACGCGCTAACAGAAACACCATGTAGGTAGAGTGTCCATCCCATCCGCAGTATCTTACCTGTCCACGGCGATAGCCACGAGGGTATTCAAGGACGCGCTAACAGAGACACCTTGTAGGTAGGGTGTCCATCCCATCCGCAATATCTTACCTGTCCACGGCGATAGCCACGAGGGTATTCACGGACGCGCTCAAAGAGACACCTTGTAGGTAGGGTGTCCATCCCATCCGCAGTATCTTACCTGTCCACGGCGATAGCCACGAGGGTTTTCACGGACGCGCTAACAGAGACACCTTGTTGGTAGAGTGTCCATGCCATCCGCAGTATCTTACCTGTCCACGGCGATAGCCACGAGGGTATTCACGGACGCGCTAACAGAGACACCTTGTAGGTAGGGTGTCCATCCCATCCGCAGTATCTTACCTGTCCACGGCGATAGCCACGAGGGTATTCACGGACGCGCTAACAGAGACACCTTGTAGGTAGGGTGTCCATCCCATCCGCAGTATTTTACCTGTCCACGGCGATAGCCACGAGGGTATTCACGGACGCGCTAACAGAAACACCTTGTAGGTAGGGTTTCCATCCCATCCGCAGTATCTTACCTGTCCACGGCGATAGCCACGAGGGTATTCACAGACGCGCTAACAGAGACACCTTGTAGGTAGGGTGTCCATCTCCTCCGCAGTATCTTACCCGTCCACGGCGATAGCCATGAGGGTATTCACGGACGCGCTAACAGAAACACCATGTAGGTAGAGTGTCCATCCCATCCGCCGTATCTTACCTGTCCACGGCGATAGCCACGAGGGTATTCACGGACGAGCTAACAGAGACACCTTGTAGGTAGGGTGTCCATCCCATCCGCAGTATCTTACCTGTCCACGGCGATAGCCACGAGGGTATTCACGGACGCGCTAACAGAGACACCTTTTAGGTAGGGTGTCCATCCCATCCGCAGTATCTTACCTGTCCACGGCGATAGCCACGAGGGTATTCACGGACGCGCTAACAGAGACACCTTGTAGGTAGGGTGTCCATCCCATCCGCAGTATCTTACCTGTCAACGGCGATAGCCACGAGGGTATTCACGGACGCGCTAACAGAAACACCTTGTAGGTAGGGTGTCCATCCCATCCGCAGTATCTTACCTGTCCACGGCGATAGCCACGAGGGTATTCACGGACGCGCTAACAGAGACACCTTGTAGGTAGGGTGTCCATCCCATCCGCAGTATTTTACCTGTCCACGGCGATAGCCACGAGGGTATTCACGGACGCGCTAACAGAGACACCTTGTAGGTAGGGTGTCCATCCCATCCGCAGTATCTTACCTGTCCACGGCGATAGCCACGAGGGTATTCACAGACGTGCTAACAGAGACACCTTGTAGGTAGGGTGTCCATCTCCTCCGCAGTATCTTACCTGTCCACGGCGATAGCCATGAGGTTGTTCACGGACGCGCTAACAGAAACACCTTGTAGGTAGGGTGTCCATCCCATCCGCAGTATCTTACCTGTCCACCGCGATAGCCACGAGGGTGTTCACGGACGCGCTAACAGAGACACCTTGTAGGTAGGGTGTCACTCGACAGGTGAATTCTCCAAACTGCCAGCCTGCAACAATCCAAAAGGAAAACATGTTCATACCAAACGACATTGTACCCAGTAGTTAAGGCAACTAAACACATATCACATTCTCAACAGTTTACGACAAAATACATCACTTTCTCATTTTGTCAATCACTGTACAAATGTAAATAGTTAGTTACCTCTGTTTGTTTCTGGGCTACAAAACATATTTATAAAAAAGACTAGCATGTTGTTATCGCAATGGTCACGTGACCATCGTTTTAAAATCGCAATAGTAATTTTACTATTGTCATACTACCGTGATAGTTCTTTTGGTCTCAATAGTCACATGACTATCGTTAGAACATCGCAATAGTAATTTTACTGTTGTCATACTATCGTGATAACTCTTTTGGTCTCAATAGTCACATGACTATCGTTAGAACATCGCAATAGTAATTTTACTGTTGTCATACTATCGTGACAGCTCTTTTGGCCTCCATAGTCACTGCTAACTAGTCGTAGTAATACATCTACAGTACAATGGAGAATATTCAAGCGGTTCGGTAAGTAAAGCTGGGAAGATTGTTCTAATTTGTGTTCCAAGTGTTGCACGTGCCGTGACTTCAAAGTAGCATCCATATCAGGTACAAAGGGTTGTGGGTCCTAGACGCCGTACCGTACTGCTCGGTTAGGTTATTATCCTAAAATTTCAGTTCTTTATCTTCACCATAATTACAGAGGACATCATAAATGTAAAAGTGAAAGCGGTCGTTGACACAGGACCATATAATTTCCAAGATCAGTCTTCTGATTTTTAGCAAGTTTAGTCATTTTGATACTTCGGAGGCGCAGTTTTTCAGGATACAACAGAGCTTTTTTTGCGTTGACCAGCGAGGATCAGTTACATTCAACGCAAATTTCCGCGCCAATTTATGTAAGCTGAACACGTGTCCATGACACTGCTAGAAATAAAACAGCTGAATGTATCGGGTTAACTGACGATCGACAAAAATTTATAATACTGGCCGACATGTAAGAGAGCGGTTTGAAGGCAGTGAACGACTATGTAGCCCATCCTATTACATCGCATGCCGATGACGAGCGGGAAACGGACACAGCCAGAGTTAACCGGAAAGCGGAAGAATTCAAACTCTAAACTGCAAAGGGTAGAGGTCATTACGTGCCGTACAGTGGCAAGTGTCAAAAATCTATCACATTAGCAGGAACCGACATCGTTACCAGATATCTATAAAGAATTTCTCAACGCGGCGCCAGCAGACCGGGAAACTGTTTCCCTTCTTGGAAAGTTGGTGGCAAAGGTTGCTGGTGGTAATAAAATAAGTAAACTTTTTATTTCCATGCATGTGCAGTAGGGTAAGAGAAACAGGCCAGCAGGGGTCGGTAAGTCGAGCTAGTCATTGACGAGCGAGTCAAAGCGGCCATATACGTCTGGCACAGGAAGTCGTCAGAGTGAAGCTGTTCAAAGGTTACGGCTCTAACACATGGTATCAAACGATGCAGGTAGATAAAAGTATTGGGAAGTTTTATGGTTGTCATAGTGATCTCATTGAGAAATCTTCTATTTCTTTTTGTGACATGAAGCTGTACGTGTTTGATGCTCGTTATTTGCCTGTTGTTTCCGTTGTTGTTTACCTTATTCTCATTAATGAGAACAATAATATATGTTGTTGGTCCAATTCGCGTGTTTAGTGCAGTGATACTGAAGCTGTCGATTTATTTCCTGTATAGTGGTGTGATATTAACAACTAGTTGGAACCGCTCCCTTGGTTAATCTGCAAAGGTAATCTTAAAAATACAAAATAAATAGACACGCGGAACTTATTCGTTACGATTTGGATGTCCGCGCCATTTTGGTCTTTTCAATGCCCGATGGTTTTGATAGATTGATCGTCGTGTTTTATCGAAAAGAAATATTACTTTGAAATGAAGCGGAAATGACGTCAGTTGTGTTCTGCCGTTTGACATGTTGGCCTTACGATTAGATGTCAAGCTCGATTTTTGTTTAGAGTTTTCTGTTTCTCTAACAGGCTGCACGCATGTGTAGACGAGACAGCCAAGATTTCCGGATTAACTGAGGATATGTCACTCCACAAGTATACCGTGGGATTATACAGCGCACTTGCAACACTACTACACTCTGTATCTGTAAATATATCTTGGAGCTTCAGACGGTGGTAGCGTGTTATCATGTCACACGGATTTTCTGCGTCTCAAATGTCCAAGGTTACAGCCAAGAAGACCGACAAAAGACAGAGTTATCAATGAGACTTTCATAAGTCTGATAAGAGTCTAAAGATTTGTTAATTATCAGGGATTTGACTATAACTTTGCTTGTTTTTACGTTGTCTTTGTCACTTTACAACGAGCTAATTAACTTGCATTGTTCCGATACCAAATATTTTGGATGTTTTTTTTACGAACATAGTGCATAGAAGTACAATGAATCAGTACAGCTTTGGTAGTGAAATAAGTAACACGGCAACGTGTCCATACGATTTGTTGACACGGTATATTCGAGCTGCTAATATTTTATATACAGTCAGAAGATTTTTGTTTAAACCAGTATATGGGTCAGACATAGTTTGTAAGCAGATTCATAAAAAGATAAACCTGTAAGTTACATAGGTGCAAAAGAGCAGTTTTAAAACGGCTAAATTTGGTTTCAGATGACAAGAATTACAGTTTACATTCGTACAGAGAAGGAGGGGCAATTATGGGAGCCAAAAACGGCGTGGATGGTCGCTGCTTACAACGTTACAGTCGACGGCGTAGCAAGTCGAGCAAAGATAGTTACGTGGCAGATACCATCAAGAAGCGGTCAATACTTATAAAATAATTAATATGCTTCTCTCACAATTTCCCTTTCTTTGTTAGTCCAATACAGTGCGGTCTACTCGGCAAATGCTTTGCGTATTTTTGCTGGCATTTCAGTATAGAGGAGTATTCCCGTAGTTCGTTTAGTAAAACGGGCTATAATTTGTCTCGTTCTGTGCTGAGTTGAAGGTAATACACGTGCAGTGTCGTCATAGTAACTGACTTGTATTAGGTACGTAGATGTGTGTTTCATACCTAGTCGCCGTACCGTATTGCTCGGTTGGGTAATTTTCTTACAATTTCAGTTCTTGTTGATTTGATATAAAATTTCAGTTCTTGTTGATTTGATATAAAATTTCAGTTCTTGTTGATATAAAATTTCAGTTCTTGTTGATATAAAATTTCAGTTCTTGTTGATATAAAATTTCAGTTCTTGTTGATTTGATATAAAATTTCAGTTCTTATTGATTCCATGGCTTGATCTCACATGATTTTAGCTACATGTACTTTTTCTGTTTTGTTTAGGCCTGTAATTAATGCCAGTGTAGCAGAGACAATATTTGTCTACTGTACGTTGTATTATTCCGGTACATTGATTTATTCCGGTACATTGATATATCATTAAGTTAATGTTTTAATGTTATATATTGTGTTTCCTTTTTTGGCCTCGTAATTTGGTTTGCTTCTTTCTATATTTGTCATTAGGCAGTTTCTAAATTGTTCTCGTTGGCAGCTGTTCCGATAGCCACTGGTCAGTGTTTTTATTATCTGCTCGGTCATTTTGGAGCGGTATTCGGCATTCCACATTTAGACTCTCGACATAACAGACTCTTATTACGACAGGGAAGACTTGTATTAAATTATTGTCTCAATCTAATTCATTTGTTTCTTTGGTAGTTTCATATCTGTCGTGATTTATGTTCTGGTTTTATGAGTTTATATCTGTTAAACATAATATATAGTAGTGTTAGTGCGTTCCTTACTGAGTCGCTTCTGTTCTTCTAATAATTACATGTTATTGTATTGTCATCTTCATTATAAACTAATGTTAACGATTTATTCAGAATATGTATCGTATTCTCTGTGAATCTATATATATTGACAAAATACAAGGATATGTTGAATATAATACATAGAATCGGTTTAATGTAAATCTAATTTTTTTAAGTATTTTTATCTCAATTGTGTTATGTACATGTAACGTGACAAATTGTACGTTTTATATCTAAATATTGTGCTGCATAAGTGCGATATTTGAATGAAGCTCATTCTAATATTTAATATTATACTGTTGTATTATTGCCGGCATAAACCAACTCTCACCAGTGTTTTTGTTTGTGTTTTCCTACAAATTTTAACACTGCTACATCAGCATTGTGAAATCTTTAAATATTTAAGGACTGGTGCACCTCCTGCTCTGCTCTAGCGCAGAAGTATCATGTTGGGAGCTTTGCTTGATTTCTATCACAATTGATTTTTTGTAAGCAACAGGATTTATGACGTATGCAGATACTACTGTTTGTCAATCTCCAGGTTGTTTTGTGTTATGACACATTATGTATGTAATACAACATGTACTATGACTTATCGATAAACCCCAGCTTCCTATACACGGCGGGCTACGGCGGGCTACACGGCAGATCCTATTTGTTGTTGCGTTACAGCTATGGAGGAGACGACTGATACTGTTGTCTTTGGATTTTCGTTGACAATATCCCTGCCGTATCTGATAAACTGATGAGCGTGTAATCGTGTTTGTGTTGTTTTCATGTTTTCTAGAATAGTCAGACGTGTAATGAACATCGCCCGCCCCAGTTGTTGTCCTGTGATGATAAGGAGCAGAGATCGGCCTGTTTCTGTCACAGTACAGTAGGCATTGTCAGCAGGCCTTTCATGGACAAATCTGGAACGTGCCTCAAATGGGAAAAAACTTCCGGCGTGTTTATATGTCATCTCCGACTGCACAGTAGAATATTTGTTTACATATAATCGTAACTAGTATTCACTTTCGTCTGTGTTTCATTCTCTCCATATTATTGTTCAAGTTATGTTACATTTTAAAGGATTCTTAAGTCCAGAGCAGTCTGTGTTTTCTGTTTCTCGACCGTTCCTATTGTTTTGCTACTGACCAATTTTTGTTTTCAACATTTCAAAACGTACTCTGGAAAGACTAAACTAAGATTTACAATGGTTGCCACTGTATATAA